AATTCCTTTTGAAATTCAAGTTTTAAAACTGTCCCAACTGTCCAATTTTCAGTTTAATTGATTGTATTATATAAATCTTATTCAAATTAATGCTTTATTTGGGTGGTAAAATTATATAAATCTTTATTAAAAATTTTTAAAGGAAAAAAAAACATTATTGAAATTCGCGATTATTCTTTATTCTTTAATTAGTCTTCCAAAAAATATATTTTGTCGGAATGTTTTTCAGAGCTAGTAGACATGGAACTAATTTAAACTGCTGAAATATTATTTAATAGCTATTGTTATGAAATAACTACTTTTCGGATTGGCAAAACTGCAAAACATCTTCAAGTGCAGTTTAATAATGCTTAAATACTATCAATTAAAGCAAAGTTTTAACAGATTCTAAGACCAACAGATTTTAAGTTTTTAATTGTGTTTATCTCACATTTTACACCAACTTTTCACATTTTACACCAACTTGCTTTTTAAAAAAACTTGTCTGTAATTTTTCATGAGTGTTTACGATCATAGCACATATGTCACGAACTACAGACTAAGTGAAAAAAGTGAAATTTGATTTTTTTTCTGCATATTTTTTGTAAAGAGAAGTGAGGAAATTTTTAAAAATTTGTTGTTTTTTTAATCCGTCAATCAGTAGTATATACACTTGATTTCATGATAATAGATCAAGACAAAGTTGATAGTCTTATAAATAAAATCCTCAAAGGAAACTTTTTTTACAGTGTTTAGTGTATATGCAAAAAAATTTCTTATTTTCACCAAAAAATGGCTATATAAAAATAAAATAATAATAATGATATTTTTTGGCCAGTTTAATAAGTTTTTGCATATAATAATACAAACTAGTTTTCTGTAATTTTATATTGATAAATATAAAAATGGTTGAAACTAGTCGGATACCTTAAAAGTACAAATGACTCCATACAGGATAAATGTTTGAGCATGTGGTCAATTCAGATTATTCTGACCACAGACACACCTTGATGTTTAGTATAATAAAATAAATTTGAAAACATTATATTCGGGTTGAAAATAGTTTGATTTTGACTTCAAGATCTTTAAAATTGTATATTCGGGATTAAAATAGTTCGATTTGTTTTCTTATAATTAACAATATATAAAAAATATCAATTGCTTTATTTATCCACATTAACTCCTGGTCATTAAATTTGGGTGGACAATCTTTGAAGATTTTATTAAAAACTTACACATCGAAACTAGTTTGTGTATTATACAAAATCGAGTTAAATGATTAAATATTAGGAAAAAATATTAGACACGCTAAAAATAATAATTTGCAATTTTCCTTTGGGAAATTTATAAAAATGGCATGATTTACTTTTAATTTATTAAGTTATACAAATATTAAACATCAAGAAATTCCATCACATTTTGCAAGGAAATATAATACAATGAAATAATTTTCCTGTCCAGTCTATGATTTTATAAACCCTGCCTTAAAAAAAACCATCAAATTTTTATTAACTCTTTTCAACACGAGTCCTAACACAAAATCGATACTGCACGAAAGCTGTCAATTATTAAGGAAATGATCACGTGCACCCATATTTGTTCTTACAACCCTGTAACTGTCACGAATGAAAGCGAATGTAGTTTACATCATGAAAATCCACATTTAATATTACATTGTATGACACTCATGTCAATAAATCACAGTTGTCAGATTTAATCAGTCAAAAAATTTACCATCACTGCTCTATTCTCTAAAGATAATATTTATACAAGGAATAAATAATATGCATTACATCAAAATATGATTAAATGCTACCGAATTCATTTGTTATCTGCGTTCTTAAAAATTTATTTTATTATCGTCGTATTCATTCTGTTTTTATGATTTCCCTGGAGTTATGACTTGAAATGGTTTTTCAGAAGCTAATTTGCTTTACTTCATTTTATTTTTTTCGTGTTTGTTTATTCAGTTAATATTTTTACTTTATTTTTTCGCTAATATAAAATTTAAAAAGATGTTTCAACCATTATTTTATTTAGGAGCGGAATTATTTTATTAAACGTATTTTAATATTTTTCGAAACTTATTTAACCACTCGTACTAAATTCGTTTTTAATAATTTACTCATGTTAAGCTTCTTCCTACTAGCATAAAATAAAAAAATTGTATATTGAATCAATGTATTTTTTGCGAAGATTTTCCTCATAACTTTTTATCCTTTAAATTATTTTTTAGTCAAAACACAGCTTTCGCTCTGAATCATTTTTATTTGTACTTTATATTTATTATTGCTTAGTTTTCTTTTTTGTTGACATCAAAGTTATTTTTTTTAAATTTATATTTCTTATTTAAAATTGATAATATGTTATTTGTGGTTTGAAAGACATTCATGGAAAATTTAATAATTTTCTAAGAAATAAGCCAAAGATAAAAAGTATAAGTGCAAAATTTAGAACTTAAATTTTACTAGATTTTAAACAACATAACCGTAATTAACATCATACATTATCCCAGACGTCAAATAAAAGAAAGATTAAAAAGTGAAAGTACATTGCTTTATTGAAATTACACACATTTGCAGGCTTCAGTACTCAATTTAGACATATAAACCTTTGTCAAGTGGAAGAACAGATAGAACAATTTGATTTGATTTGTTCATTTACGTCACACTAGAGTTGCACAATGGGCTATTAGCGACGGTCTGGGAAACATCCCTGAGGATGATCCGAAGACATGCCATCACAATTTTGATCCTCTGCAGAGAGGATGGCACCCCCGCTTCGGTAGCCCGACGACCTGCACGCGAAGTCGAGCACTTTACTGTGGAACAGTTTAACGAGGACCAATACAGCACACCCTCGGTCCCTACGCAGACTGATCCAAGTGGTCACCCACCCGCACACTGACTGCAGTCGGTGATGCTTGACTTCGGTGAACTGCTGGGAACCGTGTCTTAACGATCAGTCCACTGCGGGACAGAACAATTTGAAGAAAGATGATGAAGATGATGAAGAAGACTTCCAGGCTGGATTCGAACCAGCTACTTCCACGCCTTGCACAGCATTTATCGGGCGATACCACTCTGCCAGGGAGGTCCCAAACGAAAGAACAAACTTTTGCAATAGTATATATTATATATATACATATTTCATCAATTTGAATTCAGTTCGTTTCAGATAGAGAAGCTTACAGAGTCGACAGGAACAAATGAACTATGGTGCTTAAATGTACAGTGCGCAAAATAAGTACAACCCTGAATAACCTTTGATCTAATGATTAGATTTTCATGTTCTGGGACTCAATCATAAAGGTTTGAAGGGATGATCTGAAATTTGCTAATTAATTAGTAACGAAATTTTAAGTTACGAAATCAGACACAAAAACATACTTTCTCTAAATAAGCATAGCTTTTTTCAACGGATTCGAATTTCTGATCCTCAAAATATAGGGGATTGCCACAATCTGGGAAATAAGATCCCCACACCTTAGTAAGGAGAGCTATCCAAAGTTTGAACCCCTTAATGTTAATTTTACTTTCAGCGTATTTTGCCATATCTAGAGATATTTTTAAGATAAATTAAAAGAATAAGATAAGATAAAAACCCAATTATAAAATTCGTTTATCCAAAGATAATTCCATGCAAAAAGTAAATTTTAGAAAATATATTTATTATTATTTTATTAAATAATGGTCTAAAAAATTTGAATTGCAGGATATACAAATTTTTACATCATTTTAAAATATGCAATGGCAGAATACGAAATTTGGGCGAAAGCTGTCGAATCGAATTTTAAAGAAGTCGTATTAAAATTCAATTTCTCCCGAACTATTCAACTGATTTCCTTCAAATTTGGTATTTTGCCATGTAAAATTTTATGCTCTAAAGTGATATAAAAATTGTATACCTTACAATTCAAAAAATTTTCGACTAGTAATAACTAAAATAACAAAAAAATAAGTATTTACTAAAATTTGTTTTCAGAATGGAATTGCCTTTGGTTAAAGAAATTCTATAATTGTGCGCAAAATTTTTTCAATTCGATAAAAAAGTTCTCGAGATTTTGCGAAATACACAGAAGCAAAAAATAACATTAAGGTTTCCAATTTTTGATTTGCTTGTCTGGCCAAATGATGTTGACCATAATCCCTAGGTTGAGCTATCCTTTATATTTTGGGGGTAAGAAATCCGAATCTGTTAAACAAAAGGTATGTTTATTAAGATTCTCGTTTTTTTGTCTGATTTCGTAACTTGAAATATTGTCTGCACTAATTAATTAGCATCTTTGAAGTCACCCTCTCGAACTCTTAAGAATGAGTTTTAGAACGTGAAGATCCGATCATTAGATCAAAAGTTATTCAGGGTGATCCTTTTTTTTATTTTTTGTTTATTTACTTATTTTGGTTTGTTGCATGTTGTATATTTCTAATTCCACCACAGAATGTTTGGTCCTTGAACGCAGTTTGTCATTAATTCTATCACAGAATTCAGTCTTTGAACCTAGTTGTCTTTGATTCCAACTCAGAATTTTGATCCTTGAACTTGTCGTTGATTTCATCTCAAAATTTTCAGTTCTTCAATAGCAGTTTTGAGCAGTTTCTGTTAAAGCTTTAACAAATAGTAATTATTCTAGACGTTTGTTACACTTTTGAAATATATTATTATGTTTAGATAGATTCTAAACCACTAAAACCTCATTCTGAAAAGTAATGTTACGATCAAATGAAAGATACTTACTTCTATTCAAAAGTAATAAAACTGACTCTTCAGTTAGAAACACCGTTAATTAGTGAATTTCAAACATCAAACAACTTCAAGGGCTTGCTTAAACAATTTTCGTCAACTGTAGAAAATACTTTTGTTCGATAGATAATTTAAGAGCTTTTCGCAAGCCTTTGATCCCATCTCCAGGGGTAAAGTAAAGCAAAACCAAAATTAACATCTTTCCTTCTGTGCAATTATTTTAGATTTGTTACAATCCCCATTCCTTAAAACCTTGTTTCTTTTATTTATTTTAAAAGATCTTTCAACGGAGAATTGTGATAAGAGGTGAGACGGATGCTGAGACGACAGAAGACGATGAGGAAGGAGGACAGACTCTTCCGCCTCTACCCTGCATCCGTAAAGCCTTGAGAGGTGAGGGAATCATCTCTTCGGATTATGAGAGCAGCAATGAATCTCCTGTCAGCAGCGAGAACAATGACCTCCTCTCTGTTGACAGCCACTTACCGAAGTCCCTAGCAGTTCAGACAGCCAATCAAGACATCAACCGGTGCACTTTATGCGGAGGAAAGACGAAACACGGTGTCACCATCGAAACTTCTTCTAAGAGTCCGATTGTGGAAGAGACTTCTCCCAAAATACCAGATATCAGAGAAGTAAGTGTGCCACACTATATAATATAAATTATATGATATCGAGACACATCATACACTAAGAAAAAAAAAGTATTGCCGGAAATCCTGGAAAATTGTAGAATTTAGCGTGTTTCTGGCTCTATGTGAACACCAAAAAGCTCGATCATTTTTACAGGCGAGCTTTGGTAATGATTTTGGAAACTTTAACAATAAAATATTGTTTTGTAAAATGTTTGAAAATTTGATAAATGCTGAAAAATTTCGTAATTTTATCATGATACCTTAGAACATGGCATAAAAGGTATTTATTTGGCTAAATTTAATTTTCAGTTTTGTATTCTTACAAAATGTGTGATAATAAGAACTATAATTTGGAAAACCGAAATTACCGGTAAACATTTTGAATATATGAACGAGAAAATTACTAAAGGAATGGTTTAAATATCGTATATTTTAATTTTGTTACCAGAATTATATTTTTTTCACCAAAACTGTTTTACCACAGAGTACGGATTTCTTACCAGAATTATTTTCTCTATGTATTATGACTGTATATACCGTAATTGTATTCATCACGATTAAGATTAAAACCATATTTCCTCAAATACTCCTTAGAAAATTGTGATGCATTTTGGCAGGATTTGAAATAAATAAATTGCAAGAGTGAGTTAGGATTTGTCACACGAAGGCAATTATTAACCACAACGCAAATTGCTATATATCTAATCAGCTATTTATGTGAGTGTGTTTTTTAATAAAACTAAATATCGTTACCGCATTTTCGTATTGAAATGAGACTATGCAGACAATATGGAGCATATTAAATTTAAAATGTTTTATTAAATGCCCTTTTAAAATTGTCCACGTAAAATCGTGAAGCTTTCGAGTTACTATGAAAATAAGCAAAACGCAAAAGAAGATTGGAAGTTGTTAGGGATTGGCAGTGTATAATGAAGCATGTAATAAATAATAATCAGTCAGCCAATAAGATTTATTTCGCTAATGAAAGTAAATATTGTTGCAAAACGTTAATTTTGTAAATAATTGTGTGTTAATGTACGTTACAACGGTATGACTCGCTCGTCAAGTATATTAATATAAATGCAACCCTACCTCTAAATGCCCATTCAAATGCTTCGCAGAATATCATAGCGGTATGAGTTAAATTGGAAATAAGTAAGATACAGAATAAAGTTGAAAATATGCAAATGAAGTTTATGTTTATTCAACCAGCCAATAGTGATATATTTTTCAAAGAAGCAAAATGTTATTACTATACTTTCATTGCTCAATGTGACTTTACAAAATGGCAAAAAAAAACTCTCATAGAGTAAATTGAAATGTAAAACACTCTATAAAATCCTCTTCATAAACTACGTAGAACATTGTGTTCTTCAAGTTACATTCGAAACAAATTGAAATGATGCGAAAATTGACAATTCTCAAATGGAATGTAAGATCCATCAAAGTTTTCGTTTATCAGTAAACGTATAGTAGTTTTTTCCTTACTTAGTTGCTTAGACTAGTTGACGTTACCATTCTTTACTTACGCAATCAATTTTACGAATTAAATTAATTGCATGTCAGGCGTTTAAAGTGATTTATCGAAATTAAAATGAGTCAATTCTTGAAAAGTAGATAGTATTACCTATACTATATTGAAATGAAATGTTTGTAAGAATAAGGAAAGTTATATACCAAGTAGATAGTTTTATGCATACAATATTGAAATTAAATGTTTGTAAGAATAAGAAAAGTATATACCAAGTAGATAGTTTTATGTATACAATATTGAAATTAAATTTTTGTAAGAATAAGAAAAGTATATACTAAGTAGATAGTTTTAAGTCTACAATATTGGAAATAAAAATTTATAAGAATAAGGAAAGTATATACTAAATAGATAGTTTTATGTGTACAATATTGAAAATAAATGTTTGTAAGAATAAGGAAAGTACATACTATACGTTGTGGTACTAGATGTTAAGTAAGAATTGACATCTTAGATCAAAATATTTGTTCTTATACGTCTCAACAGCAAATAAAATATTTTTGATGCGCTTCTAAAGTTTTACATGCGTGAAATTTACGCTTACTCGAGCAAAGTTTTTTAAACAAAAATAATGCATAACATAATCACTGTTAAAAAAATGTATGGTATTGAACATTTGGATTATTTTAATACATGGACACTTAACATCTCAGAACAACCAATATCATTTTTTTAAAAGAATAATTAGTAAATAAATATAAAAGTGTTTTGCACTAGCAAAGTTTTATAATTTAGGTAGATGATATTCTGAAACTAGATAACCATATTTTTATATGCAAAATTCAATTTTTAATAGTAGTAATATGTAAGATAATTTTTATTTTTAACAACAATATTACTTAATAATTTAATAAGGCAATAGCTGACGCTAACAATAGTCCCCGCTTACCTGTATCTCAATATGAAATAAATCTAAAATAAAAATGAATTCGAATATTCTTGAAAACGTGATTATAATCTCACATAATACCCTTTTATTATTTTCAATGTTCTCCTCTAAACGGGCTCCAGTTGCATTCCATGTCAAGTGAAACAGGACATTCGTAAAAAATGAAATTCCTCGCTTCAATGGAAGATCTTTAGAAATAGAACATTCATTTTATTCGAAGTTTTCAGTTTAGGGAGTCTTCTGTTTTTATTATTCTTATGTCTGACTGATAGTAAATGAGTTCCTAAACGTTCTTTTCTTTGTTTTGTGTCGTCGATACTTAAAAGACTGAAAGACAAAAAAAAGAAGAAAAAAATTGCCTGAAACAGGCTATATTTTCCGAAGCGAAATAAGAATAAGTTTGCCTTCGGGTGTTCAAAATCATAAGATTTAGTATTCACATTTCTACATTCACACTTCAAGCTAAGGGAAAAATGGGAAAAATATTCAGAGAAACTTGAATATCGCATAGAAAAAATTTTCAAGGGGGATTGAATTCTTTGTTCCAGAACTTCTGATCTCATTTTACTTTCTATGTTTCCAGGAGGCTTCAAATGGTGCGAACTATTTTTTGTCCTTTTTAAAAAAAAATCCAAAAAAAAGCAGAAATATTCCTTTACTCCATTTCAACGAATAAAATGTGAGAATAATACTTTTCGATATGTTATTTTTGAGTTTAGCATTTCAATTTTAACACTTCTGCAGAAAGAGATCGTATATTACTTCATATTTTTTACGTTTTCTGATATATTAAAGTAACAATATATTAAAGAAACGTACGATCTATAAAATGTATGATACAAGTTATATTCCTGTAACTTTAATGGAATAAATTACTTTAAAAAGCAATAATGCTTAAAAAATATGACGAGTTTTTCATTTTAACAAATACTTCTTTTTGTTATTTTTAAAACTCGTTTATTTCAGAAATACATAAGGCAACAAAAAAAACTTTTTGGTGCACTGTTTGTCGTATGTCACATCTAGTATGTCGTTGATTCCATCATAGAATTTTTCGTCCTTGAACATAGTTTGTCGTTGATTCCACCACAAAATATTTTGTCCTTGAACTTAGTTTATCGTTGATTCCACCACAGAATTCAGTCGTTGAGCCTAGTTTGTCGTTCATTCCACCACAAAACGTTTGGTTCTCGAACCTAGTGTTTCGGGTCTTGAACCCCAAATTGTACTTAGTTAAACAACAAGAGTTTTTTTCTGAGCCAACTAGGACCACAACCGATGAGAGTCGAGGCATATTCTTGAAGCTAAGCCACGTGATAAAGATTGCGAATTCACATTTTTATTTTCCATCATAGGATGCCTAACATACCCGAGAATGCCTAATAATCTTAAAGAAATAACTGAGTTGTACACCTTATGAAGCTGCTCTGTTCATTGTAGAGGGTTACATACTTTAGCCGTGAGGGCTAATCAGTCAATCTTTTACCCGGCTGATCGGGAGTTACAACGTCAGATTTGGCACCACAATATCTCCTCCATTCCTTTAACTCATGGAGAGATTTTGGTGTTTTGAGCGCCCCACTTGAGGTACTTTATATACGTCGCACTAGAGCTGCACAATGAGCTATTGGCGACGGTCCGGGAAACATCCCTGAGGATGATCCGAAGACATGCTATCGCAATTTTGATCCTCTGCAGAAGTGATGGCTCCCCTGCTTTGGTAGCCCGACGAACTGCAAGTGAAGTCGAACCCTTTACGGTAGGAAAATTAAACGATGACGGATTACGCACTCTCTCGATCCTTACGCAGGCTGATCAAAGTGATCACCCACTCTTTAAATCTATGCTATGATGGATTTTAAATTTTTGTACCAATTTTTTGAGCCCATGCGTCCCGCAACTGTATAATTAGATTCCTTTTTTTTTTGCTACGGAGCCTATACTACGCTGAAACCACCAGGAAAGTACACCTCTATGTAGCGTCCTCCTCTTTTCACGACCACTTTTGGGAGGCACGGAATTTTTTTTCCATAGGCTTTGCGTTGAAGAAAACCTTTTGAAGACACCATCAAAACCTCACCCAGCGACCGGGAAACCTCTGCACCCAAAGCGAAAAAGGTCAAATAAGGAAACAAAAAAAGAATATCTAAACAAAAAATATTAGGAAAGCAAATAAGTAGATAAAAAAGTATTTAAAATATTTGTGTGAGGCTCTTATTTAGAGCTCTCTTTTTGACAATCTCTGAAGGAGATCTACAACCTCATGTTGCAGTCACAGTGCACTGAGACGATGCTATCGATGATTAATTTTTAGAGTAGAAAGTTTTTTTTTCAATGCCCGCCTGGGGTATGACCTACGTCATACAGGCATCTGAACGGCAGATACGTTGGCCACTTTTTTAGGGGCACCATATTAGATGGGCCAACGAGAGTTGAAAGTTAAATTAGAAAAAAAAGATATTTTAGAAAACAAATAAGCATCTTAAAAAATAAACTCTTCTCATATTTAAAGTTAATTTTTATGATATGAAATTAAACTTAATTCATTATTGCTAAACTTTATTTTTATTAAATTAATTT